CCTGCACATCTCAGGGCAGCAATCAACAACAGCTACCTGAGACCCCAGGACACTGGGAACACAAACCAGACCCCCCATTCCTGCCCTCACACCCTGCCCAGCACTAGGGGGTTCCTCCTGCCCTCTCATACCTTGACCAGGTTGTTGCAGAACCAGTAGACCCCCCCCATGTGCAGCAGGGTGTCGAAGATGTGGATGGAGCGGCTGTCCACCCAGCCCTTCTCCAGCACCTTGGTGAACACGCTGGTCAGAACCTCCTTGATGGGCTTCTTGGGGGGCAGAAGGTTCCAGTAGGGAATGGTGTCCATGCCAGTGGAGGGGAATTTGATCTGTGTGGCCGTTTGCTGCAGGACATCCGCACACATGTGCTCCAGGATGGAGCTCATGATCACCACGCTGGGACAGAGAGATGGGGTCAGGGCACTGGGAAGGGACAGCAGGGCACAGAGAGTGGCACTGGGAAGGGACAGCAGGGCACAGAGAGTGGCATGGCATTGGGGAGGAACAGCAGGGCACAGAGAATGGCACAGCACTGGGGAGGGACAGCAGAACACAGAGACAGAATGGCATGGCACTGGGAAGGGACAGCAGAGCACAGAGATAGAGAATGGCATGGCACTGGGAAGGGACAGCAGGGCACAGAGAATGGCAGAGCACTGGGAAGGGACAGGATGGCACAGAGATAGAGAATGGCACAGCACAGAAAGGGACAGCAGGGCACAGAGACAGAGAATGGCATGCCACTGGGAAGAAAAAACAGGGAAGATGGCATGGCAGCAGGAAGCAGAAATAGGGAAGATGGCATGGCACTGGGAAGCAGAAACAGGGAAGATGGCATGGCACTGGGAAGAAGAAGAAGGGCAGGAGACAATGGCTTTGGGAAGCGGAAAGGGGGCAGGAGGCAGCATGGAGCTCAGCAGGAGATGGCACAGGATTGGGAAGTGGAGAAGGGGAAGCAGGGCAGGAGCAGGCCCTGGGCCCCAGCTGCAGGGCAGGAGCAGCCCTGGGCCCCAGCTCACCGCTCGTTGTAGAACTGCAGCGTGTTCTCCCCGTACAGAGGCGTTGCCAGCTGCCGGATCATCTGCAGAGATTTCTCCCGCTCATCCAGGCCCAGCATGCGGACATGGGCCACCAGCCAGGCCACTGCACACACTGCCATGCTGCACACCTTGCCCTTGATGTTATCTGTGATTTTCTAGCAGAGGAGAGAAGCACAGCCAGGTGGGTGTGCAGCCATCACCTCCCAGGACTGTGGGTCCTGACTGCAGGGTCCCAGCCCTTCTCTCCTCCATGGGTGTCACACTGTCCCTGCCAGTCCTATGCCACCCACAGGGCACTTTGGAGCAGGAACAAGGGGCTGGAGCCACATCAATTTCCCACTTCCAAGCTCCAAGGCAGCTGCCAGAGGGATCAGGGCAGGAGAACAGGGAACCCCAGAGCTTGGCCCCTCATCAGCTCCACTCTGCCCACCCAGCAGCCCCACCTGGATTGACTCAGTGCTGAGGACTCCATTCTCCCAAGCATTGAGGATCTCCAGTATGGCAGCTGAGATGCTCAGACACACCTCATGCCACTTCATCTGCCTGTCAGGGAGAGAGATGGGGATTCAGACCCAGCTGGGGGCTCCCCCCAGAGCTGGCAGGGTGGGCACACGGGTGGGCTCTTACACCAGCTTCATCTCAGAGGAGTTGTTGAGGAGGGCAACCAGGGACTCCACCTTGGTGGAATCCGGGCGGAAGCAGGGGTGGTCGGGGTTGAGGATCTTCCCCTCCTCGGGCATGCAGGTCAGCATCCAGGTCTCAAAGAAGGGCACCTCCCCTGGAGGGTTGGAATCTGACAGGATCACCTGGAACGGAACCAACATGGGGTCTGCATCCTCATCCCCAGGTGGGGACCCTGCTGGGGACCCCCACCCTGGGGTATGTCTGCCCCACCCTGGGGTCTGTCTGTCCCACCCTGGGTCTGTCCCCCACCCCGGGGTGCTCATGGCCGTGGGAACAGCGCCGCCCTGTGGCCCGCAGGGAGGGACAGGCACCGCTCAGGCCCCAGCAGGGCACTGCTCAGGCCCTCTGAGGCACTGGTTTCCCCTCTGTGGGTTGTGGTTTCCCCTAACACCACGGTGCTCCCCAGCAGAACAAAGCCCAGCTCAGAGCAGAGATGCCAGGCCAGCTGTGAGTGTGGCCACGGGGTCACAGTGTCCAGCTCAAACAAGTCCTTTGTCCATAAGGTCCTTGGGGCTGGGGTCACCCCTGTGGGGGCCATGAGCTGGGAACCCCACACGTCACTTCCTCCCCTCAGCCCGTGTCACCCAGGGGACACTATTTTTGTCCAAAAAAAGTTTCACACATCTGTTCAGCAGCAGCTGGGCAGGAAAGCTGCTGGGCTGGGAGGGGGGGATGAGATCTCATTGGACAGCCCTGGGCACATCCATCCCTGCCTGGTTTCCCCTCCCTGCTCCCTGGGCTGCCTGGGCAGGACCCTGCTCTCCCCCTCTCTGCATCCCCAGGTTTCGGTATCGTTTCGCCTCCCAGCACACACAGATGTCGAAACCTGGAAAATTTTCGTGCAACCAAAAGTGGTTTCTTGGGCAGGGCTGGGAGTTCCTCCTAAGACAGAGAGGGCTGACACTGCATGGCCATGGCAGCCAGTGCCAAACTGGGAGCAGTCTGGTGAGCTGCAAGGGCACTGGAAGCAGCATTGCCACTGATCCCAGCAATGGAGCACAGCCCAAGTCCTCAGGGAGGTGACAGCCAGTCCTGCTCCATCACCTGGCACCCAGAGAGCCCCAGGGACAGATTTGCAGGTGACAGGCACCGGGTGCTGTGCCCTGGGCTATGAAGTGGCTGCAGGGACAGTGAGGACAGTGGCAGGCTGGCCACTAGAGGAGGCTGATAGGCTGCAGCAGCGCAGGGGCTGAGCTGGCAGATCTGAGAGTTCCTCTTAGCATCCAGCCTCATCCTTCCCCTCCCTCACAGGATCCAGTCCCACCCTCTCATCCCCCCCAGAGGGTCCTTACCTCTGAGCCATAGGTCTGGGCCACATGGCACAGCATGAGGAAGGAGATGTCAAAGAGCAGAGCCCGGACTGGGCCACTCTTGGCTGAGGGAGGAGAAATAAAAACCTTGGGGCTCTCTGGCCTCAGCAGGAGGAGGGAAGCAGAACCCCACAAACAAGGGGGCCAGGGCACAGTTCCCCCACTGTTCCCCCACACAGTTTCTAACCCCCCCAGTGGATGTTCCAAGTGCCTTCCCCCACCTCATCTCTCCCAGAGCAGCTCTGGCTCCCTCTGGGCAGCCCCAGCCCAAGTGGGGCCTCCCTCACCATGGAAGGTCAGAGCACTCTGCAAGTTTCATCACACGGAGTCAGAGTCCTTATCTGGGCTGTGCTGACACATCACCCCTTCCAGGGAGGGAGCCAAGGGGCCCCCAGGCTCAGCTGGGGAGAGGGAGCCCAAGGGAACACCCCAGATTTGGGATGGACACACACACACGAAGGCAGCGTGTCCCCAATCCCTGGTGGCACAGAGCCCCCTCCCTGCCAGCACCCCCAGCCAGGCCTGGCACAGCTCAGCTGGCTCTGGTGCCACAGGCAGCCCCAGTTTAAGCCAGGCAGGCCCCACAGCACCCCAGCAGGGGCAGCAGGGGGGGCACAGCTCCAATCACCCCACGCACGGACGAACACGCACTCACAGATTTCCCCGGTGATTTGCTTGGTGAATTCATTCAGCCTGCAGGGGCACAGAGTGGCAGCAAAGCATCATCAGTCCAAGCACACAATTCCCAGCCCTGACACAAGCAGGGCTGGCCTGCAGAACCCTCCTAAGCTCCAGCACAGAGGGGCAGGAGATGCAAGGCCCAGCTCTGCAGACACCCTCCAGCACCACAGGGACATCACCTCCTCCCTGTGTCTGCTCCCTGTGGTCACACAGCTCCAGCCAAGCTGCTCAGCCACACCAAGGGCTCTCCCCAGAGAGGGCATTTCAGAGCACAGACCCCCCCCAAACCACCTTGGGGGAGCCCATCACACAGCCCCACGTGTGTGTGTGTGCACTAACCAGGACATGTGTGTCTGCAGAAGGCAGGGACACACTGCCCTGGATCAGGGCTCAGCCACAGCCTTCAGTTTTCTGAACACCCCAGACCAGCCTGGCTCCAATTCTCTGTCCTACTCATGCAAAGATGGGGGGCTGTGGGGTGCAGCATCCCTGAGATCCCAGCCCTACCCAGTGCTCCACAGGGCCACAGGCACATCCAGCCCTGTTTAGGGGGCAGTTTAAGGGGTGCCTGTCCCCCCAGCCCCCTGGTCACCAGCCACAGTGCCACCCATGTGGACACTCACTTGACAAACTTGCGAGCGAAGGATTTCAGCTTCCCAGTGGCTGCTGCTGCTGCCAGCAGCAAGTCCAGGCTCTTCCCAGACAGCATGTGACCCAGGACCCCCAGCAGGCCCTCAGGGGACTTGGAGTGATCTGCATCCATGGTCTACAAGCAAAAAAGCAAGAGGAAATGGAAGTCATGGGGATGTGTGCTACACAGTAGCAGCAAACTCCAGATTTATGGGTACAGAGCTGATCAGCTGCAAGAGCTGTCCCTGAAACCTTAAGGAACAGGGATGCTGGATTTGGGAGAGGTGGGATGGAGACCTCTGAGCCCCTGCCACCAGCAGGAAAACATCCCCTGTCACTCAGTAGCAGCAAAACAAGCAGAGTGACACAGGGACAGGGGGAGTCCCCAGGGAGCAGGGGAGATACACACAGAGGGCAGAGCTGGCTGGGCTCAGGCTGCTGGCACTGATGACATGCCACCTGACAGCTCCTCCAGCTTCCTGGGAAGGAGAGGAGGAGGGGAGCTCCTCATCTCCACAACGGAGCAGCAAGGCTCCAGTGATTCCTCCACTACTCCACCCCAGGGCAGGGAGAAATCCGGCGCCTCCCAAGCACCCTGGCTGCCTGCTTACACTGATGCTGCTGGCAAAGGGCTCCAGGCCTGAGCCCAGCCAGCCCAGCAGGGCTGCAGAAGGGCACTGACCTTCAGGATGTTGGTGACAGTGGGCTCAGCCCTCAGGATGAGCCCAGGGTTGGGCTGGATGTTGGCGTTCTCGGCCGATTTCAGGGACGGAGAGTTTTCCTTGTCTGCGGCCCTGGGGGACCCCAAAGAAGGGCCAGTTGTAAGAATNTCTGAGGCTGCAAGGTGACCCCCAGCAGCAGCAGCAGGTCCTTACCTGGGAGCTGATGGCGTATTTCAGGTAGGACAAGATGAGTGGGTTTGGGGACGGCCCAATCATGGCCTGCTCCAGCAGAGCCTCTGCAAGGAAAGAGGGTCCCAGGTCAGCACATGGGGACACACAGACACACTCTGTTCTCCCCTCATCCCCCAGGGAAGCTGGCAAAGTCCAAGTGTACCAACCACAGAGACTCCAAACCTGTTTTCTCCTAAATCCACCGAATCCCACAACTTTCTAATCTCTCAATAATTCAGGCACAGCTCGCAGCCTCCTGCTCCAACCCCGAAACTGCTGCTGCTGCTTTCCACATTCTCCTCCCTCCCACTTCTTGCCAGGAGGCTCCTGCAGCCTCCACTGAGTGTCTTTTACCCAGGCACCTGGGGCTGAGCTTGGGGCCACCAGTCCCCTGCGCTGGGCGCAGCCCTGCCCGTCTGGGCCTCAGTGGCCCGAGGGGCTCTGCCCGTCCCATCTGCTCAGCCAAGCCTTTAATTGCCCATTTGAGCCATGGCAGAGTGCAGGAAGCACCTCCCTGAGCAGGCCCCGGGCTGCAGAGCAGCCTGCAAGTAGGTCAGAGCACCCAGATGTAAAAGGGGGAGCAGCAGCTCGGTTGGAAGTTGTCACCCCAAAGATGAGGAGGAGGAGGCACCATCAGATCCTGAGTGCAGGAGACTCCCTGGGTGTCATTCCAAGGCTGAATCCTTGGCCAGGAGGGTCTGGGATGAGGACAGAAGGCTGGTGGCAGCCATCCCCTCCCCAGCCCATCGCAGAGTGCCACCACGAGCCAGCCACATGCTGCTCCCTGCTGCAGACGTGTCAGCAGCGATCTGCCAGGCCCTGCCGTGATCCTGGCACCTCGTGCCAACTCTCCCTCCTTTGTACTTCCAAGCTGAGCTTGGGAAAGGACAGCTCTGGGGGCTGTGGTGAGGAAGGGGAGCTGCTGAGCCATCAGGACCTTGGGAATGGGGTGCAAACAATGCTCAGAGTCAGGGCCAGCATCCTGCTCGTGTGGCTCCCAAAAGGAAAAGGGGACACAGCTCCTTCTCCTCCCTGGCTGCCCCAAAGAAACCACTGAGCCCTGGCTAAATGTGAGCCAGGAGAAACCCATTCCTGCAGAAATAATAGGGAATTATCCTCTCTGTGTGGTTGGTTTGGGGGATACACAGATGAGGCCAAGCCAAGCACCCTGCAGGCCAGAGGAGCAGGAGCTGGTGCCACCAGGGTGGCCACAGACACCTGGGAGCCCCAGGGAGCAGCTGGGCAGCAGCAGGGCTGGCCCTCGAGCCAAGCACCCCCACCCCCAGCAAATCCATCCCCAGCAAATCCATCCCCAGCAAATCCCTCTCCCCACGGCCACAGCTCGGAGATGACAAACCCAGCAGCAGGGACAGCGCGTGACAAAAAACAGGCACCGACACAAAACCCAATGGGAGGGTGGGGAGAAGGGAAAAACGTGCACAGGGGAAAGATCCCCACACTCAGAGGAGTGAGAGCTGCTGCCTGTGTGGGGCTGGTTCCTTTAAACCCCCTGGAGCAGCAGCTCTGTTTATTTATCCCGGGACTTGCTGCACAGGGAAAATCCCAGCACCAAGTTTCTATAATTAGCAGGAGAGCCTGGCAAATCTTTAAACCAGTCCTAGCCCTTGGCAGGATTTCTGTGAAATGCCCTTGAATTGGGCTGGGAAGCAGCCTTGGGAGCAGCACCTGGCTCCTGTGCAGTGCTAGAATCAGGAAATTAGGGAATCATTAAGGCTGGAAAGACCTCCAGGAACATCTCAGCATAACCCAAACCCCCCTGGAGCCACATCCACGTGGGAACTCCACCACAGCCTGTTCCAACACCCTTTCAATGAAGAAATTTCTCCTCATTTCCAACTTAATTCTCTCCTGGCTCAACTTGAAGCTGCTTCTCTTGTCCCAAAAGCTACGCTGTGCTGATCTGTGAACGCTTCCATGGGGAAAAAGGAGGGAATGACCCCAAAACGGTGGGAACAGTTGGGAATGGGGTGACATGGTTGGGAATGGGAATTCTGGGGTGAAAAGCAGTGTGGGAAGGGGAGGGGAGGGTCCAAATGCAACAGGGACCCCCATAATACCCCAAAGAAGGGAACACCTTTTTCTATAGGGAAAAAAGAGGGAATGAACCCAAAACGGGGGGAACAGTTGGGAATGGGCTGACATGGTTGGGAATGGGAATTTTGGTGTGAAAAGCAGTGTGGGAAGGGAAGGAGGGGTCCAAATGCAACAGGGACCCCCATAATACCCCAAAGGAGAGAACACTGGGGGAAACACCCAAATACATGCGTGGGGACCCCCAAAACAGCCCAGTGTGCCCAGCAAGGAGGGAGAACCCCTCGCCTCCCCCAGACCTGCCAAGTTGAGGATGTCCCAGGTGGCTCCGCGGGGGAAGAACCGCTTCATGTTTATGGCCCATTGATAGTCGCTCCAGCGCTCCTTCCAGGCCTGCAGGATGGCCTGCTTCAGGTTCACCACCTTCATGGTCACCCTGCGGACGGACAGCTCAGGGCGAGGGGGACGGGGCCCTGAGCCCAGAGCGNTCAATGAGGTTGTTCATGTTGGCCTCAGAGAGCAGCCCCTGCTTGCTGCACTCCTGCAGGAGCAGGCTCATGCAGTTGCAGCTGGAAGAGAGAGAGAGAGGAGAGCTGTAGCCCCAAGGACAGCATTCCTGTCACCCCAGACAGTGCCACAAGGCAGGGGGATCATGAGCTGCCCCTCCTGGCTTTGTCCCACCCCTCTGAGGGTGCTGCAGGGTCCAGAGCAGCTCTGGGTGTCATACACATGACTCAGCTGCCTCACTCATGTGGCAGCAGCAGCAGCAGCAGCTCCTCAGGAAGAAGAAATGGGATCAGAAACCAAGCCAGCCCAGCCAGGAGTTGGGTTGGTTTGTCCCCACACTGAGGACAGGGTGGCTGTGGCAGCTGTGGCCATGCTGGGCACTCACTCACTTGCAGCGCTGGTCGGCTTTGTCGAGCAGAGGGGTCAGCTTCAGCAGGAACTCAAAGGCACAGTTCACATCCTCAGTGAAATCCTGACAAACACAAAGCCAGGCACTCAGCTCACCAGCCCATCTCCCCCTGTCCCCACCTGCTCCATCAGGGGAGGGTTTTTGGGACAGGGAACATTTCTCCATGCGGGTACAACACCATCAGTCTCACCTTGTCCCCTTGGGGATACTTCTTGAGTTTAACCAGCACCTGGGGCATCTGAAAGACACAGGGCACAGAATGGCATGAGGGCACACAGTGACATGAGGGCACACAGTGGCATGAGGGCACACAGTGACATGAGGGCAGACCCTGTTCCACAGCTGGGACCCCCCAGCAGCACCAGCCCACACCAACAGAGCTGCACACAGCTGCTCTCCCAGCCCCAGGAAAGCAGCATTTCTGGAGCAGGGTGTGCACCCAGGGGACTTTGTGCCCCTGCTCCCCTCTGCAGGGTCCTTCCACCATCACCTGGAGCCACATTTCCCCCATGACCTCTCAGGAAAATTCACTCTGCCAAACAAAATGAGGCTGGGCTGAAAGGAGGCCCCTGACAGCAAAGCTGATGCTCAGGGGGTGACAGGAGGGCTCAGGTGGGGTGGACCCCAAAGGGAACATTGTAGGGAGTGGGGATCACCCTGGGGAGAACATTGTGAGGAGTGGGACACCCTAAGGGGCACATTTTGGGGTGTGGGGGTAACCCAAGGGGAATTCTGAGTGGGTGAGGGGCACACTGTGGGTTTGGAAGGCATCCCAAGGGACACAAGGTGGGGTGTGGGCACACTGGGGGGTAAGGGACACCTCGAGGGGCACACTGTGGGGTGAGTGGCACACTGTGGGGTGTGGGCACCCCAAGGAGCACACTGTGGGGTAAGGGACACCTCGAGGGGCACACTGTGGGGTG